AAACCCTTAAACCCTCCCCCCCCAAACCCAAGAAACAGCACCTATATACCTTGGGTAAATACCTAGTAGTGCAATTGCTGTGTCATAGGGTAGTTGTATTTTTAATTTTTTGAGGAACCTCCATACTGTTTTCCAGAGTGGCTGCACCAGTTTGCATTCCCACCAGTAGAGCAAAGGAGAGATGATTTTATTTTTTACACAGCTTTTAAAATTTGTCCTTTTTCCTTTTAGAACCAGGGTTTGAACCCAGATTCTTCTGATCTAGAACCCAGCTCATAACCATTATACTATTCTTTTCTTAAACTTAAAAAAAATGTCTACTTAGTTTTGAGAGATAGAGCGAGTGAGCAGGGGAAGGGCAGAGAGAAGGAAGACACAGAATCTGAAGCAGGATCCAGGCTCCGAGCTGTCAGCACAGAGCCTGACGTGGGGCCCCAACCCACGAACCCTGAGATCATGACCTGAGCCGAAGTTGGATGCTTAACCGACTGAGTCACCCAGGCACCCCATAACCATTATTCTTTTGCCATCTGGGTTGTTACTAATCAAATAGTGTCCATACTCTTTAACATGGCATACAAGGCCCTCTGCATGATCTGGCCCCCCACAACCTTTTCTTTAGACTCATTCTCTAAGCTCTAGACCACACTACTAGAATTTGCTCTGTGTTTTGGCCACAAAAGCATTCTTTCACTTCCTTGAACCTGCTCTGCCTTTTCATACTGAGCCCATAATGTGTGCTCTAGCCTCACGCCTTACATAACAGATGAAGTCAATTCTTCAGATTTTAATTAGTAATTACTTCCACAGGGAAGCTAGGTCAATTACCTCAACAATTCGTTCTCATAGCACTAACTCTCCCTACTCATACTTAGGCTGCACAATCCATGAGGACAGGGAGTGTATCTCTATCTGCTTACCACTCTTACCTACCCTCAGCACATGGGGTAAGTAATTTTGCAATAAACACTTACTGAATGAGGAAATGAATAAATTCCTGCTACATACCAAGTACTATAGTAGGTTCTAATCAGAAAAAGGTGAAAAATTGCTGCTGCCCCTGGGATCTCATACGTCATGTCCTTTCTTGCACAATCTCCTAAGAGGAGTCCCTCCCAGCATGGGGCTCACACTCAGGACCCCCAGGTCAAGAGAGGCATGCTCCCCTGACTGGGCCAGCCAGGCACCGCTACACCGTGTGCTCTTAACGCCCATGCCCACAAAGAGAACAGGATTTGAGAAGAAATGAGGTCATGTGAAGAGAGACACAACTTCTCGACCAGTAAGCCTTCAGTTTCACTGATGTATCTACAAGCTTGTATTACTCATGAAAAAAAAATATATCCTGTATATTCTCTAGGAAAAGAAGTCTTTTTTATAGATGATGCATTAGAGAGATATAAGAAACCTCTATATGGGATTCACCAAGGTAGATGATAGAGAAAAAGACTGATAACTGTCCTACTGCTGTTTGGCAAGAAAATATAAAGAAAACCAAATGATGTCCTACAACAAACATTAAGGGTTATCATTCTTTTTTTTTAATTTAAGTAATCTCTACACCCAACATGGGGCTCAAACTCACAACCCCAAGATCAAAAGTCACAGGCTCTTCTCACTGAGCCAGCTGGGCGCCCCAGGGTTATCATTGTGACTGCATGTAATGAGCACTTAAAAAACAGGTATGGAACACAACACACACTAACGTCTTCTAATATGCAAAAACGTGCAGATTAAAATAAGCAGCAAGTAACATTTAGGAAGTATATTTCACCTGTATCAGATTGAGGAAGGTTTTCTTTCCCTGCCCCCGGATACAGATTTTTTAAAAAGATAATTTCCAGGGTAGATAAGGGTGGGGGGTAAAGAGTACGTGACTATTACCGCATGATGCTAGTCAAAGTATAAACAGACGTGGCTTTTAAGACAGCAGTCTGACAATATACGTTAAGAGGCTTAAAATGTATCTAGCACTTTCAATTTGTATTTCTCTGTGAACGAGGGATGCCATTAACTGTGACTGACATGCTACATTTAGTAAAGGAAAAGCCATTTGCAAATGGTGAATATTGTCATTAGCTCATTTAAAAATACCAAATATACCTTCAGGGAATGAATCTGGTTGGATACATAACAAAAGGGTTAAATGCTCTTATTTTGGATGACTTTTGGCTCTGTGTTCTATTATCTTTTAGAAAAATGTAAAAATGTAACCAGGACACTATGAAGGAAATAAATCTAACATGCAGAAAAACGTATGCGATGACAGGAAGACAAGGTTAGAGCATACAGGAGATGGTGTGATAGTAAAAATAATTCCAGGCCCACAGCTATATACTGGGTAAAATAGGTAACCTCTCTGGGCCTGGACCTCCTCACCTGTAGAATGAGGGGATTAGATTGAATTGTTACATTCCCTGTGCTTAATTATTTATAATTTGGGGCAGTTATAATAAGAACCCCCCTCTTTTTTTAAACCTAACCCTAACTTACTTTTTTAAAGTAAGTGGGGGAGGGGCAGAGAGAGAAGGAAAGAGAGAGACTCCCAAGCAGGTTCTGCATGCAGGCTCAGACTCAGGAACCTTGAGATCGTGACCCAAGTCAAAAATCAAGAGTCGGATGTTGGGGCGCCTGGGTGGCTCAGTCGGTTGAGTGTCTGACTTCGGCTCAGGTCATGATCTCACTGTTTGTGGGTTTGAGCCCTGCATCGGGCTCTGTGCTGACAGCTCAGAGCCTGGAACCTGTTTCAGATTCTCTGTCTCCCTCTCTCTCTCTGCCCCTCCCCCGCTCATGTTCTGTGTCCGTCTCAGAAATAAAATAAACATAAAAAAAAAAAGAGAGAGACAGTCGGACGCTTAATGAACTGAACGACCCAGGCGGCCCTGAAGAGGAACTTTTCAATAAAACAGAGAAGTGCAGGTTTTCTATAACGAAGAGTCACTCAGCTGCGTATGGATAGGTCACATCTGTGACACGTCTGTGTGTCCTCCACCCAGACCAAGTGTGAAAGCAGGAATTACCTTTCAGTGCGCTCTCGTTCTTCCTCTGGGAACGGCTTCTGCTTTTTCTTGGTCTGTTCTTCCAAAAGCCAACTTTTCCTCTTCAACCCCTTCTTCTGTTCTGGACTCAGGTTCACGCTCTGGACAACAGCCTCAATGACATCCGTAACGGTGTCAGGACGGAAGGGCGCCGCTGCTCTCTCCTCGCCTTCGCTCAGCTCGGGGCCGACCAACTGGGCGGCCTGGAAGGCTTGCATCGACACCACGGCCTGGAGGGGGCATTTCCGAGGTCGGCCCGGTCTGCGTTTCACGAAGTTGTTCCCTGTCCTGGCCTGTCTTTGCAGTTTTTTGGCTTTTAGTATTTTGTTGACATGGTCCAGGTTTTTCTTGGTGGCCAGGATTTTGTCGTAATTGCACATTTTCCGAGCTTGGCGCTGCATGGCTTCCACTACGCTCCTCTTGATGTGCGGGGGCGAACGGCTGCTCGGCAACCTCTCGGAGAGGGGTGAGATGCTACCACTACAGGAGTCGCCGGGGACCGCAGGCGCGAGAAGGCTGTCTGGTCTCCCCGGGGCTCGCTCCTTGCCGTGGCCGTGGCCGTGGCCCGGACTGGAGGAAGGCGGCACAGAGGCGGACGTGATCGCGGCCTCGACGCTCTTCCCCAGGGGCGCCTGATCCTCATGTTGTACCATCCGCTGCAGCAGACCGTCCACGGAGTCGTCCCCAGAAGCGGTCGCTCTCGGACTTCGAGAGGAAACGCCATTCACTAAACGAGATGACAAATCACACGCAGAAGAAAAACGAACACAGCCAGTCATTTAAACGACTCTTTACAAGGAAGAAAAGGAGCCCTGCTCCATCTGTCCTCACAACGTCACACATCCTAAGACCATGTGCGGTTCTCTCTCCCAGGCAAGTTGGTGGTTTACTTTCCTGAATCAGGCCTATGTGACAGTCATCTCAGGAACTTCAAAACTGGCCTATGCCTCCCTATTACCAGTGAGTTAAAAAGCAACAACAATAACGCTCACTCTCTGAGATGAGGACCAGGAATGAATCATTTATTTCTTCAGAAATGAAGGTCCGTTTGAGTTAGGAGACTCGACAGTTCAACGCCGGACAAAGACCTTCCACTTAACCTTTGTTACCTTAGTGGCCCAGGGACTTGGTGATCTTTGTCTCCTCAGATACCACTCAGTGCATTTTCGTGACTATACTGCGTGTGGGAAAGGCTCCCGCTCCTCTGGCCAGCCATGTCAGTTTCACAGTCTTTGTAAACATCGAATTGTAATAGGCCTACTTCCCAAGATGCCTCGTTGTTTCCTACTAATGATCACAGGTAATGCTTCTCCAAAGTTGATGGATGCATATCCTGTCTATCTGAGTTTAAAATGCGGTAGGATTCTAGGGGCTACTGTACAAGCCCCAGGCATTCCAGATTCCAATCAGATTACACTGGACTTTTTCTCCAATTACCAATAACTTCCTTCAAATAATATCCAGTAGTACTGTTTAAATTCAAACTCTCAGTGACATTTTATATCCCTAATTTTTAAAATCTGGCCTCCACTGTTTCTCTGATAACCCACTTTCTCTCCCCATTCCTCAGCTCCATCAGCATTAGCCATAGAGGCCCCTCAGCCCCAGTACTGCAGTGTTACCTTCTACATTTATTGCCCATGGGGGACACGTTCGTTCTCATAGTTTCCACGATCAGAACACACGTGCTAATCTTCACTTTTATCTGAAGGTCACCAGAATGAGGACTGTCCCCTTCTCACTCTCTGGCCCGAGCGCTTCTCTCCTTGATGCAGGCCTCCCCGCTCCCTTTGACAGTTCATTCAATAGCATGTACATTCTGGTGTCTCCCCAGTCTCTCTTTTCTGAGTAACACCTGTTTTTCTACTTCTCTACTTTTGCATGTTTCATCGCTCTCTCGTACTCCTGTTCATTACCTCCTCCCTCAACCTTGTTCCTCCAAAGTGCCAAGCTCAGTGACTGGTAACATAAAGCTAGCTCTTCAACATTATATACACAGAGCACCAATCACGTGCCAGGGATTTTGTCAGCCAAGCTCAGGCCACATCGTCTGTCATTTCTCCTCTACTCTCCCCACAACTCAAAACGTTTGATTTTACGTTAGTCTGGCCTCTTGAACCTATCCACTTGCCTTCTCACCACCACGGCCCCTCCATACCCAGCTAATCTTGCCTCCCTGCCCTAAAGCAACAGCCCAGCTGCTTGTAGAGCTATTACAACCTGTACATACACAACTCTTTTACTAATTCTCCCTTCAAGGGGTAGGATCTAGGGGCACCTGGGGGGGCTCAGTCGGTTAGGCGTCTGACTTTGGCTCAGGTCACGATCTCACAGTTTGTGAGTTTGAGCCCCCACGTCAGGCTCTGTGCTGACAGCTCAGAGCCTGGAACCTGGTTTGGAATCTGCGTCTCCCTCTCTCTCTGCCTCTCCCCCACTCATGCTCTGTCTCTCTCTCTCTCAAAAATAAATAAACATTAAAAAAATTTTTTAAAAAGGGGTAGGATCTAATGCCTCTCCTCTTGAATATGAGTTGCCCTTAGTGAGCTGCTTCTAGCAAAGAGAAGTCGATAGAGGTAAGAATATGGTGATTTCTAAGGTTGGGCTAGAAAAGGCAGGACACATTCCACCTGAGTTTCTCTGAAACCTCTGCTCTGGGAACCCAGCTTCCACATTATAAGTAAGTCCAGGCAATCTCCTGTCATGCTTCCCAATAGATCCCGCTAAGGTCATAGCCAATAGCTTTCATAACAGTGACTGCACTCATGAGTATTATCATATACTCTTTTAGTGTATTTAAGTAAATTATCCCTTTGGATTTGCTTCAAAACAGTTCATGGATGGACCATAAGATATCCTGTACAAAACTGTTTTCCTACGGTTGTTTATATATCTCAATGACTACACAGATAGTCTCTACACATATTTCATTTCTTTGAATATCCCTGGAAGGTTAGGAGGACATAGTTCTGGTTGAGCTAGTTGCCTTTATTTATTTATTTATTTAAAAAAAATTTTTTTTTTTTCCAACGTTTATTTATTTTTGGGACAGAGAGAGACAGAGCATGAACGGGGGAGGGGCAGAGAGAGAGGGAGACACAGAATCGGAAACAGGCTCCAGGCTCTGAGCCATCAGCCCAGAGCCTGACGCGGGGCTCGAACTCACGGACCGTGAGATCGTGACCTGGCTGAAGTCGGACGCTTAACCGACTGCGCCACCCAGGCGCCCCTAGTTGCCTTTATTTTTAATTAATTTATTTTTTAAAGATTGTATTTTTAAGTAACGTCTACACCCAATGTGGGGCTCGAACTCACAACCCTGAGATCGAGAGTGGTGTGCTACACGGACTGAGCTGGCCAGAGGCCCTCCTGCTTGCCCTTCGACTGCAAAACAGAGGGTATCATCCCAGTGCTGCTGGTGATGATGAGAATGCCAGGTCAATCAGGACTGAGGACGGTCAAAGACACTCAGGTTTATGCCAAATAGGAATTAAATTTGCACTTGGCCGTGGAAGAACTCAGGGCCCTACTACTCTACAACAAATTTTCATTGATTTTTTTTCTGGGTTCCACAGGCAGTGTGAGACAGGAGGTGACACAGAGCATGTGTGTGGAGAGGAGCTCCTTTTCGGGCTCTTCCCAAAGCCAAACTGAAACAAGGAACCACCAGGTTCTTCTGTGGCGGCTTTGTTTCTATTTGCTCTCATCCTGGTAAATGTCACCTTCAGGGAGCGCCAGATTTACGCCAGATTTACGGAAATCTGATGGGGACTTCTGTGCTGCTAGAGCCTTAGGCTTTGTCCTTTGTCTCTTGCACCTGGATGTTTCCCAGTAATCAGGCTCTCGCCACACCAGGCAGATGTCAAGCAGCTCTAATACTCCTAATTCCTGTTAATCAAGTTTTCTGAAAGTTTCTGGTTTCCTGGCTACTTACTTCAAATTTCAGCAATGTTTTAAGAAATATTTTCCATATTTTATCTAGTATTTTTAGTTTTAAGTACCGAGAAGCATATCTGTTGGCTCTGTACATCTCCTCTGCCTCCCTGCTGGAAGCAAAGCTCAAATCCATACCAGGGTCACCTGAACTCAGACAGCACCTTCTCAAGCAGCCAAACTGCTCTAACTCCACCTGCAAAGTAGTTTTATAAAAATCGTTTTCCCAATTACTTAACACTTTCTGTCCACATCTTTCTTGACCTCTTTGTGACATCTGACATTAAGAGGTTTCCGTTCCATGTACTCTGTGATTTTTCTATATAAAAAATCTATTTAAAACTTGTATGTTATCACTGATCTCTTTTCTTCCCCTTCCCTCGAAAGCGAATGTTTCTTAAACCTGCATTCCTGCCATCCTCCCAATTGGTATCTTCTTGCTGGGTAATCTCACTCGCTGCCAGATTAAAGTTTGTATTACCTACTGTTAGGCCTACGTCTCTACCAGAGATGCCTCTCAAACTACAAGCCGCCACTTCCGAATGGCTAATTAACATCTCCACCCCAACAGTCCAAACACTGTTCAATTCTAACATATCCCAACCTGAAGCCATTATCAATGCATTTCTCCACACATTTCTTGTCACATTCCACTCTCTACATTGGAATGCTGTAGAGTTTTCCCAAAATGTGTACGCGGTAGACTGAGCCATTATTCATAAATATTTGCTGCCCTGCCTTCAATGACATTATACACCCGACACTTCCTCGACGTAAGACTTAACCATGCGACCTGCTTTAGCGCTGAAATGTGAGGAGTAACAGTTAGTTCTGGGCAGAAACTTTAAGAGCTGGTCAGTGCGTTGTATGAACCTTCACCCTTTTCCACACGACCAGCAACGCTCCAGATAGAGGCTGGGTTACACAAGGTCCTAGAAGGAAGACAACGCACAACAGACCCATTGTGGTCACACAGCGTGAACAAAAAGTAACAACACTTTGTTGTTTCAAGCCACCGAAATGTGGGACTTCTTTTAGCACTGCAAAATCTATCCTATTTTGAACTGCACAATATATCAAATAATTTTTATCTTCCTGTTCAAAATCCTCTAGTGGCTCCCAACTGCCTCTACAGTAAAGTCTCAATTCCTTCTAATGAAAAAACAAACAAAAAAAACCCCTGTGCCATGTGGGTTATTACTTTTATAGCTTCATGTTCAACCACAATCACACATACTATCCCTCACACGCTAGTAATCTCAAATAACGTGCTGCTCTCCAAAAACAGCATTCCATTTTATGGTTTTGCGCTTTTCTTCGGACATGTTATTGTCAGTGTGTTGAACACATTCTTACTGTTTACCCACTCATGTACTCAAATTACAGTAGTATTATGTGTCACATCTTCAGGGATGTTGTCTTCTTTTTTTTAAAGTTTATTTATTTTGAGAGAGAGAGAGAGAGGGAGACCGCACATGCGCACCTGAGTAGGGGAGGGACAGAGAGACAGAATCCCAAGCAGGCTTATTAGCACCGTCAGTGTGGAGCCCAACGAGGGGCTGGAACCCACGAACCGTGAGATCATGACCTGAGCCAAAATCAAGAGCCGGCTGCTCAACCCACTGAGCCGCCCAGGCGCCCCAGGGATGTCTTCTTTAGTCACCACGCATGTGTTAAGTGCTCGAGTTGCCTACACCAACCGGTCTGTTACAGAATTTAACCCACCTTTTAATGGCGAATATGGCTGACTCCTTGAGGGCAGGAACCTTATTCATGTTCGCATCTCCAGTGCTCAGTATTCATAGTAACTCAGAAAGGATTTATTTGAATGAATAAATGGTGGTTGGTTTTATGGTGACAGTAACCTTATGGATCTAGGTAGTATTTCTTTTGTTTACTCAAGTAAAATATTTGGGTGATTTTTCTTCGTGGATATCTCCATGAGATCTCATTCTTTTCTTTTTAGGGGTTGGCAAACTTTTTCTATAGATAGCTGGATAGTAAATATTTTAGGCTTTTGAAGACACATATGGTGTCTCACATATAGTTTTTCCCTTGCTCCTGTATTTTTTTTTTTTAATTTTTTTTTTCAACGTTTATTTAT